GCCAGGCCGATCGCGAGGGGAGCGCAGTGCTGCCCTCGAGATCACGCTGTGGGTGGTCCCTCTGGGTGTGCCAGCCATTGAGGCCCTCACCAGAGCTGCTTCGCCTGTGGCTACTAAAGGCCCTGCAGCAGTTCCTGTTGGGGACAAAAGCCCCATATGAAAGTGACAAAGAGGAAGTGACGGCTGTGGCAGTGAGAGTGGGGAGAGGAAGGCCATCTGCGTGTTGTCCTTCGGGGATGGGATGCTCCTGGGCTTGCGGCGAAGGCTCGGCAGGACGGAGGCCGCTCCCTGGTGCTGCCTCGGGGGCCCCTGGAGACCGCGGAGTGGATGAGACCTCCGCCCTGACTCTCCTCCTTTCTGTCGTCACCCCTCTCCCCACGGCCACCTCCGTCCGCTCCACACCCACCCTTCTCACGCCGAGCGGAAATGACCTAGTTCATGTCCACTCCCGAGACAGGCCTGTGAGTTTTCTGAAGGCAAGAACTCTGTCTCACTCGTCTTTAATTTCCTAATGTCTAGAATCATGCAGGGTACATACCAGGTACACCTTAATGCTGGGTGGGTGGACAGATGGACCGATGCAGCTAATGCGCTGAGAGCTGCCATGTCCCCACCCCGAATCAACATTCCTCCAGCCCAAACGCTTTCCCACTGCCGAGATGCGTCCGCACACATCCGCCTGCTGCCCAGTGAGTGTGGGACACACAGGCGTGTCTCACTGCACACACAGAGAACACCCTGGAGACATGGGGTGTCCATCCTCATTGGCCCCCCGAGTGTCTGAAAACAGAGCGGACTTACGAGAATGAGAGGACGAGCCGCAGATGGGGAGAAAATGTTTACAAAACATATGTCTGCTAAAGAACTGGTATCTAAAACACACAGAGAACTCTTAACGCTCAACAGGAAGAAGGAAAACAAATGGCCCGATTTAGAAAATGGGCAAGAGATCCAAACAGACACCGCACCAAAGGAGATATACAGATGGCAAACGGCGTGTGGAAAGATGGTCAGCATCGTATATAATTAGGGAATTATAAATTAAGACAATGATGAGGGACCAGGACATGCCCATCAGAACGGCCGAAATCTAGAACTCTGACGACACCAGACACCGGGGGTGGGGACGTGGAGCAGAAGGGACCCTCACGCACTGCTCGTGGGGACGCAAAAGGGAGCAGACACTCTGGAAGACACTTCGGCGGTTTCTTACAAAACTAATCGTGCTTTTACCATACGATCCAGCAATCACGCGCCTTGGCATTTACCCAAAGGAGCTGAAAACACGTCCACACAAGACCTGCACCTGGATGTTTACAGCAGCTGCGTTTTTAATTATCAACACTTGGAAGCGACCAAGATGTCTGACAGTCGGTGATGAATAGTAAACTGTGGTCCATCCAGACAACGGGATGGGATTCGGTGCTAAAAAGAGATGAGCTATCAAAGTGTGAAAAGATGTGTAGGAACCTCGAATGCCTGTTACTCAGTGAAGCAAGCTGATGTGATTCCAGCTCTATGACGTTCTGGAAAGAAAACACGATGGAGACAGTTTAAAAATTCCGTGCTTTCGCAGTTGCAGGAGAGAAGGCTGACTGGGAGGAGCACAGAGGGTTTTAAGGGCAGTGGAACGATCGTGTAGGACACTGTAGTGGTCTCTTCGAACACCGGACACAACCCACAGAATGTACGACGTCGAGAGCGAACCCTGACGTGAATCACAGACGTTGGTCAAGAGCAACATGCAGCGCCGGCTCATCCACCGTGATGCACGTCCTATACTGACACACGGCGTAAATAACAGGGCAGCTGTGCATGTGACCGTCCTGAAACGCACAAAACAAAATACGGTCAAATCAAAGGTTTCATTTGGGGACTGGAGATCAAAGTGCCGAAGTTGTCACGGAAGACGTGGGGTCGTGCCAGCAGAGAGGGCACGGCCGGGCAGAGCCCCACGCCGGTGGTCAGTGTCCTGGGGCTGCCCTAACGGAGCACCACAGCATGGGTGATTTAGACGGAAATTGCTTTTCTCCCAGTTCTGGAGTCTAGGAGTCCGAGATCAAGACGTTGGTGGGGCGGGTTCCTTCGGAGGGCTGAGAGAGAGAGAATCTGCTCCAGCCCCCGCCCCCGGGCACACGCACGCACACGCACACACACGCCCCCAGGCACACGCACACGCACACGCACGCCGCAGACCTTTGCGTTCACGTGGCCTTCTCCGTGTCCACATTTCTGCCCTGATGACCCCAGTCTACTCTTTCAGGAGTCTCGATGGGGCAGTCTCGGAACTTAGCCACCTAAGGTAGGACGGGGAAGGTGGGAGAAAGCACAAAGAATTCCGAGCGGCAGGGTCTGGCCGGCGGGATCCAGGCGCCCGGCACCCCTCGCCCCTGAGCACTGTCTGCGAGGCTGGGTCTGCGCACCGAGGTTCCGGCTAGAGGCGGATTTTGGTTCCGCCACCCGGCGGGGCCAGTCGCGGTCCATCTGTTGGCTGTCTGTGCCTGGCCAGCCCCTGGGACCGGTCTGATCCAGCATGGTCTGGTGGTCTCCTGGGCGCTGTGAGGGAGGCCTGCTGTCATCTCCTGAAAGACACTAAAAACACTAGGAAAAAAACTACCAGGGTCTGGTTTCAGGTTCTTCCGGGGAAGAAAATGCAGAGAACACAGACTCCGTCGCCACGGGGAAGGGGCCGCCGAGCAGCAGCCGAAGGGGGTTCCGCCGGCAGGGCTCGAGGAGATGCTCGCCCTGTCGCCGGCCACTCGGCTCCCCCTCCTCTCCTCCCCTGGACTCTGTCTTGCTCCTTGGGTCAGCAGCCCCTCACCCCTGCTCCAACGGCGATGGCTGGGGCAGGGAAGTGAAGCAAGAGGATCAAGTGTAAAAAATATGGCCGTGCTGGGCAGCGGGACCACAGTGGACGGCCGGACCACCCGCCACCCCAGGGCCATCGTGGAAGTGGCCACTTCAGCCTTTCAGGGCCGCGCGCAAGGCTCTGCACCCCGTGTCTGCATCCGGCGGTGCAGGGGGTGCTGGCCGCTCCAGGCCTTCCCTGGACCCAGAGGGACCAGCCCTCCCAGGCTGCCAACAGCTGACTGGGGGTCCAGGGCTGGTGGCTGGTCCGCTGCCCTGAGTGCCATTGGTCACTATTCACAGGGCATCGCTAAATGAAAGACAGAACAGCCACAGGTCAAGGTGCGGTGGAGGCCACCGTGGGGCTGGCAGGCTCCCGAGTCACTTTATCGCCGCCACTCAACCAAGCCCCATAGACTAAAGGCAACAGCAGAGCTGGAAGCAGGCTGGTGACGCGGGAGCTGAGAGCTTTGTGTTGGCGGCGGGCCTGGTGACGGAGCAGCCTGCAGGCCGGTGGCCCTACAGACCGATGGGACGGGAGCTCGTCGGGACGGGAGCTCGTCGGCACGGGAGGCTTTCTGCCCAGAGGTAAGGCGACTTACGCTATTTTAGGGCAGATAATTGTATTTAATGAATTTAAATATTTCATACCTCACCTCTTTCCAAAAAGAAAAGGAGACAGTGGCCAGTCGTATCTTAAGGGAAACTGCTGTTTTGTCTGGTGAGGAAGGCTGAGTTCTGGAAGGCTCGCTGAAAGGCTTCGTAGCCATCTTCATGTTAGGGTCCCTTGACCTTGGCGCTGAAGTGGAAAGTGGGAAATGAAACAAAACAGCCTTGAGCAAAGCAAACGGTCTCAGAGAGGATTTGGTGCCTGAGGAGCTGGGAGGAAAGGCTGGCTCGGCCATCTCTCCCCAGGGCCAACCCCCTCCCCCCGCTCTCCCCCGGCTCTAGAGCGGGGCTCAGATTATGGAACTGCCCCCTCCGATGGCCAGAAGCTGGCCACCCAGTTCATAACTCACATTTTAGCAAAGTTTTCGCCTGGGTTTTGTGAGCATCCCGTTCGGGGCTCTTCCTGCCATCGATGTAGGCCAATGACAGAACTGAGGAGTCATTTCTCTGTTTTGAAAAGCTGACAGCTGTCGGTCACGTGACTAATTTTTATAAAATTTGCTTTCACATCGGGAGTTCGAGCGAAGGTGAAACTGGCCTCCTCCCCTGGGGCAGTGTATCCCGGGCTCACGGTTAACAAGTTCTTTGACAAACGTGAAGACCACCGTCTTCGAGATTTAGGAATTTTTAGCATGGGTCTAGTTATGATTAGACTCGCTTTGCAGTATTTATTTGTTTACTACTGAGAGATCCACCCAGTCCTTCTATATTACTGACAAAACTTTATGGCTATTTGAAAAAATATTTTTATTGAGATGTAATTGACATATGACGTTGATCTGATATTTGTGTCTATTGTGAAATGACCATCTCAATGAGTCTGGTTCACATACTTCAGCACGTAGAGCTACAATCTATGTTTCTTGTGCTGAGAATGTTTCGGATGTACTTTTTAGCAACTTTCAAACATACGATTGGTTACAGTATCACCTGTCGTCACCATGCTGTGTCTCACGTCCCCGTACTTACTTATTTTATAACTGGAAGTTCGTACCTTTTGACCCCCTTTACGGCTATTAAATTCCCAATAAAATGTGTTGTTTGCTTTGCAAGAAGATGAGGCACCCACACGCCTGGCTTTGCTGAGCCGGCGGCACTTGACGCCTCTATTTACTCTCCGGGAGCCAGACGGCATCCAATCTACCCCAAAGCACGAAGCCGAAGGCCACTCAGGAAGCTGGGTCGTACTGGCCACGCGGCTTCCGCCAGAGCCCAGTCAATCCGCCGCTGGGACAGTGTCACGCCTCCGTCGTTAAATTCCACTGAGGCCGTTTGTCCAGGACCCACTGTTGTCACTTGCGACTGGACTCTACAGAGTGTCAGGAGCATGGCTGGCTCTGCAGCCGGAAGACGGGCTCCAGCCCTGGCTTCCCCCTTTACGCGCTGTGAGTCTCAGCGTCCTCCTCCGTAAATGGGGCCCTGTGGCCCCAGGGGACCTTCCGGGGAAGGCAGCTGGAGGAGGCGGGGCCCGTGGATGTCCACTCGTCAGCCTCACACACGAGGTCGTCCTTGCGAAGGCATTCTTGGGTGGCTACTTCCTGCTGCCAGCTTAACCCTGAATCTGGGTCTGAGTCCAGATTCACAGGATGTTCACAGGCTGGGGACCTTTCTGCCCTCAACACGAATGACAGCTTTTGTAAGCAGACCTCATCTGGCATTTGAGAAACATCCAGTCTCAGATTCGATTTCCAATTTGTGACCCTTTTCCTTTAGCCTCAGCTCAGTTTCTTTCTTGCATGCCTTGTCGTGCGAAGATCCACCCTCATCCCCCTCCGTCCCTGGTGCTTCGCTCCAGCCTGATGCCATCCACCCCCTGCCGGGCTGTCCCCGCCTGCCTCCTCCCCTCCCCTCCCCTCCGCTCCCATGGCCTCTCGCCAGCCTCAGAGCGTGATTGCGTGCGTGCGTGCATGCGTGCATGCGTGCATGCCTGCCTACCTGCCTGCCTGCGTGCGTGCGTGCGTGCTTGCATGCGTGCGTGCATGCATGTGCGTGTGCACAACTGAAGCTGCCCCTAAGGCAGAGTTGGGGAGATGGGACAAGAATTCATTCATTCAGGCAACCAAACTTGATCAGGGACTTCCTAAGCAAACGGACGAGGACACAGCGATGAAAGACAGACAAACCCCTGTCCCCCGGTGGGGTGCGGCCCAGGGTGAGGGTGTCAGGAGTCGGGCAGGGCCACCTGTCCCAAGGCGGAAGGAGGCAAGGTCCCGGGTAATCCGGCTCCTCACTCACGCTGTGGGCGGCAGGCCTTCCCAAGGCCTGGGGCCTGGAGCCTGGGGCCTGGGGCATCGCCCTTGGAAGCTCACCTCTCCCGCGGGTATGCGTCTCTTGTGGGGGTCAGGGCCTTGGGGGTCTCTGTGTCCCCCGCAGCAGGTTTCTCTTTCAGGGGGACGTTGTAGGGGGAGGCGTGTTTGCCTAGGCTGCCACAGGCCTTGGACTTAGGGCTGGCCTCTCGCTCAGTCGTCCAGCCGACTATGACAGTGGTGTCCATCTGCAGGATGGTCGGGGCCGGCACTGGACTGGGTGGGGACAGCTGAAGGCAGTGTCGACAGGAGGGCAGTGGCGGAGGCTGAGAGCTGGTTACAGTGAGACAGCAGGCGCCCAAAGGGCAGGGGACCCCCAGAAAGCGACGTTCGTTGAGGGCTGACTGTGGTGGCCCGCGTGGGGTCGTAGAGACGGCACGGGGAGGGAGCCGGTTCGAATCCTGCTCCACTCCGGCTGTGTGTCCCTCGATGAGTCTCTCGACCTCTCTGGGCCTCGTTTCACTCATCTCGAGAGGGTCGTTGTAGAGATGGTGTCGGCAACGGGCCGGCATGTGGGAGGCGATTCCTAAATAATACCCAGCACAGTCACCTCACTGATGCACACGGCAAGTCTGGGGGTTGATTCCCTGGCAGGAATTTTAGACGTCTTCCGGTTCAGTGGTTCCCCAACTTTAGTCTGCTTCAGAACCCCACAAAGGGCGCGTTCAGAGGCAGGTCTGGGCTCCGCCCCCTGGGGGCTCTGATGCCGCGGGTCCAGGTGGGGCCTGAGGATGCGCCATTCTCACCGGGCTCATGCGAGTCTGATGCTTTGATGCTGCTGGCCCAGGGACCGCACGGAGGCCCGCGGGGCTGCCTCGAACTGGGGTGCAGAGAGCAGACCTGCAGTCAGAACGTTCGGGCTCCAGCCCCCGCTTCCCCCTTTCCTTGCCCGTGTTCGGCAGAGTCTAGGCCTCCCAGCCCTTGTCCAGGCCAGGGGCAGTGCCAGGCCCCCAGGCAGCGCCAGCATGAGGGCAGTCAGACTCCAGGCAGAGGCCAGGAGGGTCCGAGGTTCGGCGAGAGGGCTGAGCTCGGCAGAGAGCAGAGCCCCCGTCCCCCCACCACCCGAGGAGGGAGCTGGCCTCCGCGGCTGCGCCCCGGCCTCTGGACCCGGGAAGTGCGTGTGAGCTCGTGAGGGATGACGAGTGAGTGATTTTGTTGTGAGTGTGACAGTGCGTGCGTGTGAGTGGGTGTGTTAGCCTGCTCAGGCAGCCGTAACAGAGCACCACAGACCGAGCAGCTTAAACAACAGGAATTCATTTTCTCACGTCCGGGAGGCTGGACATCTGAGATGAAGGTGTGGGCAGGGCTGGTTCCGGCCGAGCCTCTCTCCTCGGCTCGCAGACGGCCATCGTCTCCCCGTGGGTTCATATGGCTGTCCCTCTGCGCATGTCTGGGTCCTCCTCTTATGAGGACACCAGTCACAGTGGGTTAGGTCCCCCATGGCCTCATTTTACCTAATCACACCTTTAAAGGCTCTGACTCCAAACACAGTCAGCTTCTGAGGTCTTGGGGTTTAAGACTGCAACGTATGACTGTCGGGGGCACACGACTGAGCCCACGAGTCGCGTGTGTGTGCGTGCGTGCGTGCGCCCGTGTCCCCTGTGTGTGTAAGAAATCTGGCTTTCCTGCCGCATCCTAGGTTTGTGTTTGTGGGGCGGCTGACAAGGTCTGGCCTGTCACAGGTCAACACGGGTCTTCGGCTCTCAGGGTTCCAGACAAATTCCTCCTCAGTTCACAGGCGCGTGCCTTCCGCCGAGCACCGTCCCGTCACCATGTCGCCTGGCAAGCCCACCCTCAGGGCAGAAGACAGGTGGTCTGCGAAGGTGGCCCCGCCGAGGACGATGCCGGTCTCGCTCCTGCCCGCACGACGGCGCTCGCCTGAGCTCCCCTGACATGTAACCATCCTTTGTGTATCCCTGGGGCCAGAGTCCCCGTTTTTTTTGTAAGCTACAAAGGACCTTTTTGAGACCCTTTCCACGTAGTTAAGCCCGTTCTTCCGCAGTGCAGAACTGTTTGTGGGCTTGACGGGGATGTGGCAATCGAGCCCTGCAGGCCTCGCGAAGGCGGGTCTTCCACTTGGGATGGATCGTTACCCAACAGGCCGTTCTCGGTCGGGACCGAACAAAGGCTCGCTGGTGCAATTGCAGCTGGCGGCTGTTCTCGAGACAGCTGGACCATTGTTTTGCTGCCGGGTGCAGCACGCACAAAAGCAGGGGCCTGGGTCCACCTGGACTTAGTATAAACGGGAGGACTCTCAAGAGGGTAGACACACAAGCCACAGAGCAGTGAGCACCACGCGGCGGGAAGCACAGGGCCCAGCCCAGGCCCAGCGCAGGCCCCTCCGTAACTGGCGCTCACAAAATGTTTGTTGATTGAACGCCCGACAGAAGGAATGAAAGATACAATTTCAAGAGAGGGAAATGTGTTCCAGCCAGGAAAAAGAGGGCCGCAAGTGACAGGGAGACGTCGTCACCAGCTTCCTTCTAAAGGGCTCGGAGCTTTTCGGTCAGGACACCTGTCGGTCTGCCTCGACTTAATAAGCACCCATCGTATGCAGAACACTGGGAAGCGAGTAGGAGGTGTCTTGATTTCCCGCGTATGTATTATATAAGAGAAGGACATAATCGCATCTATAGACATGTATTAGGGTTCTCCAGAGAGACAGAACCCTTAGGACACGCACAGAAATGTAGAAAGACATATCATTTATGTGCGCCATTGTGTGAATTTAAGGGGTACAGCAAGTTTAAGGCGACGTGAGAAAGGTTTGTTCTGAGGAGCTGGCTCGTGTGATCATAGAGAAGTCCCGCCATGTGCCGTGTGCAGGCTGGAGGCCGGGAAGTGGCCCAAAGCCTCAGGACCAGCAGCCCTGATGACCGGGCAGCGAAGGCGGACGTCCCGGCTCAAGCAGAGCCAGGGAACCCGCCCTTCCTGGGCCCCCTGCCCCACGCGGCCCTCAGCGGCGGGGGGACGGCCCCCCCACGTTGACGAGCGTCTTCCTCAGTACACTGACCTCGATGCTAACCCCTCGGCCATGCCCTCGCGGACACCAGAACAGCCTTGGGCCAGTTGTCTGTCCATCTCTCAGCCCTGTCAAGGTGACACATAAAATTAACCATTCTAAGACCAAAATGAAAAGGCTGGAAGGGAAATTGAAAAATAATCGTAACG